GGGGGGGGGGGGGGGGGGGGGGGGACTCCGCATATGAAAGAGGTGGGGATGCTCGTCGGAAATTTTGAATTAAACCCCTAAAGGAGACCGATCTGGGCGTGGCCCAAGCTTTTTTTTACCCCTAAAAGAGACCATGTTAAAACGCAGACAATATATATATTTTTTTATATTTTTCACGTGCAACCCTAAACGAGACCTACACGGCTAAATATGATGGGGTTTTGCCCAGAACACCCTACGTGAGAACAAAATCCGAAATTTACACCCCTAAGCAAGACGACGAGCATCCCCACCCCTTTCATATGCGGAGTCCCTTCCCCGGGATATCGAGGTACCACTTTAAATAGGTAGATGGCACCATAACAGCAGAGGTGGGCGAGGTATAGTCAGGGCGTCGTATAACTGGGGTTATACGGTATATATTTCACAACTCTTTGCTAACAAGGTGAAAAAAATAACCTCAACTTGTCTCCCCAACAGGTGAAACCCCAAGCAGAGAAAATGGCAGGGCAAGAATTTCTTGAATTTAAAGCCATATCATATAAAACTCAAGTTGTAGCTGGAACAAATTACTTCATTAAGGTTAGTCAAAAACGTTCCTCACCTACCCCTCCCCTAAGCCAACATTAACACTTACTTCTCACTTAGAACAAAATGTTGGCTTAGGGGAGGGGTTGGTGGGCAGTTTCCCAGAAACGAATAATGATCCCAATGTACTCCGGATCTGTAGTCAGTCCCACATTGTATTTATTATGACATTCACGAAGGAATGGGAAGTTGGGGTAGGGTAGGGGAAATGGAAAGCATTGTATTGCCAATTATTATCTTATTACATAATGATTCCTGTTAGTATAGGTAATAGCATGATTTGAAGTGTATTTGGCATAAACACCACGGGTGATATTTCGAAATTGTTGTACGTAATTTCACGAGCCGTTAGGCGAGTGAAAATTCAGACAATTTTGAAATATGAGCGGTATTTATGCCAAATATCACGTACAAATCAAACTATTATTTGTTTACACTACTCAGACCCGCAAAAGGTTTGTAATTTTTGCATGTAGGTACTTCAAATTATGCCGAAATATCACTGCTCTAAGCAATCAAAACCAGAAATTTCTCTTAAAAAAAAGTTACGTTAAAGTCAAAGTTTTATAACACAGCTAGCAGCATTCCAGTCAAACAGTCTTGCCGACCGATGCGGTATTACTTCCATAATTTTTGAATAAAGAATTAAGGATCAATATTTTAAGAATGAATTTTTGTTAAGACATTGTCACCCTAACTCAACAACAGCCCGACACTTTGCCTTCAACTCAACGCTTTCGGACTTGAACAATGGATGCAGGGTCACTGTGAAAGATTTCACCCCATGTAAGAGAATCCGTATTGCGGAATCCGAGAGATTTTTGCTCGTGGAATCCGGAATCCGGAATCCGGAATCCAAGGTCCACTGGAAAAGTCCGGAATCTAGTACCTGGAATCCGGAATCCACGGCGCGGAGTCCAGAATCCAAGACTGTCTTGGATTCCCTTACATGGGGCGGAAGATTCTTCAGAGAAGGGTACAGCTTAGTTAAAGGGGCTCTGTCACTAAATTCAGCTAAAGATAAGGACCTCTCCCTAGTCTCGCACAGAAGGCCATGCACAAGTGCTATTAAGCCACACTTACATTCAATTTCCGTTTTTTTTCCGGAATCAGTGTATTACCCATCATCCTCGTTTTCATTGTGTTTTATATAATTATCGATTACGATTGCGTGTGATCACAAGCTACACTAAAGGTTTTGATATCTTAAACAGAAACTCAAGAGTAATATTGGATCAAAATTCCAAATTCAATGAAAAGAAATAACATTAATCATGTTATTAGATCTTTTATTAGTGTCCCTAGGGATCGCTATCAAATTGATTTTTCTAATATCGACATTTCAACATTTTGAATGCTGAAAGTTCGTAATTGACTCACACATTACATATTGGATCTACAGTGCAACCTCGGTTTCTCGAACTCTAGGTGTTTCGAAACCCCGGATAATTCGAACTAAACCTAAACTTTCTTTACGAACTACACAGTGTAATTTTACCTTCGATTTTTCAAACCTCCCCATCATTCGAGCCAATTTGATTTCCCAATGTGGTCCGATAAATCGGGCTTCCACTGTATACCTTACTCGAGGATGGGTCCTTTAAACTGTTAAAATATTTTACCTACAGGTTCATGTTGGCGGTCCTTCCTACGTTCATTTGCGTGTTTTCCAGTCTCTGCCAGGTGGTGGATCAACTGTTACATTATCTGCTATCAAGACAGGAATGACCAAGGACGATCCCATCAACTATTTTGACTAAAGTCCACACAAGTTCTACATCGAGACAAAATTCAACCTCGCACCTAGCTTTTTTTACTCGCTAACTACGTCATGCTACGTCATTGACACAGTTGACGAAAAACCTCCTTCCCGGGGTCCTTCTTTTTGTCTTCTGTGTACGACTCAAGAGTGGCGTAAATGACGAAAGAGAGATCCTGGGAACAAGGCTAGCTCACGAAAACGAGGTTGGACAAAAATAACAGTGACTAGTGATGTAAGCATTTTGCAATAAGGTTAAAATAAAAAGTAAAACTATTTTTTGTTTTGTTTGATCGTTTGCAAAGACTTCTTAGAACTTAAATTAACTGACTGAAGGGATAGATTAAACACCTTGTGTCTACTTGATAGTTGTAGGTAAAAAAAGCTTTGCAATGCCTGGAAAATGTATCAACTTCAAGCCACAAGAAAATGTATTTTCACTGTACATGCATACAGGATCGCCACGGTAAAAATTTCGAGGTTACATTCCACACATTTTGTCGAAATTACGGTGCACGCGTTTACTCAGAATGTCTCCTGACTGGATTAAGTTTGTTACACAACTGATCATATCTGTTCAGCTGCTAATAAGAAAAAGGAAAGTAGAAAAATTCTCTTGCGTTTTTAAGAAAAACAAATGAAACAATCAACGAAACGAGTCTGGTAGGATACGAAACAATAATTTTCCAAGTTGACATGTATACTGTGTCAAGACCATGGGCAAAGCTTTTTAACTATATCAACATCAAGGACTTTTCTTACCACAAGAGGGGACAACATTCACCAACTCTGGCAGTATGACTATTCGTTCTTAGTAAATTCGATGAAAGAGCAGTGCCAGTTAGCTTTTCGGCCTCAGAAATGAGCTTTTGCGGGACTGAACAAGAAGAATTAGCTATAATTCCTTTCTTCTACAGACCTTGTAACGTTCAGTCTACAGTGCAGGGGATGCGAAGTATGTTTACTATGTATACATTTTGCGACTTACACTCCCACAGCATGTTTGCTGTTCCGGTTGCGGATCAGGATAAGTAGCTTTTCTTGCTAGGCAAGTAACGTCTTAAGCTTACTTGCCCAATAGGCAAGGGACCAGACACGTCATCTTGTAACCTAAATTATTAGGGAGCTTAAGCAACTACAACGACAACGACGACAATTTCAAAAAACAATACATTTAATGATCAAAACAACAGCGCTGCACGTGCATCACTCTTTTTAGTACATTTCTTTGACGTCACTGCACGACTACGACGTGAAACCTCCTAATTTGACGTTTTATGGAGGACGTAGACATACCACGACGAGCTTTCCTTCCTCTTTTTTAACTTGAATAAAATCCTTAAGAATTCAACTCCAGGAAAAGTAGCCTGCATTTGACATATTGACCAGGTTCAAATAAACGCGATTAAGTTTGAAAGAACGCAGATTCGTTTTTTTAGCGACGTTTTCACTACCGTCGTCGTCGTCGTTGCTTAAGGTTGCTTAAAGACAAGCCACCAATATCTCCGGAAAACAGAATGCGAGAGCTGTTCAGTAAGGACATTGCGATCAATCTCAAAATCAAATCCGTTATTTTGAAATATTTCCACGTTGTCCATAAGGATAGCTTCATTGGCAGTGGTTAGTTCAAGCTTCTGGGGAACAATAAGACGTTGGGACTTAATTGTCGTGTTCCTCTGTTGATCCTCAAAGTTAAATTTCTCATCTGAAGCATGCTGGTCGATTATGAACAAATCATTATCCAGTTTTGCGATGATAAAACCCAGATTAAATTGACCCAAAACTTCCATACCCTTGAACCTATCTTTACTGATATTTTTCGTTAGTTCTTTCTCAGCACTGGAATTGCTCTATGGTGCTATCTTCGCTCTAAACAAACGAGCTTCTACTTCACCTGTTTTCTCTCTCGTTTGTGCCGTAACAATGCTTTTAACTTTATTCATACTGAAACTCACTGTTGTTTCCTTTCTGTTTCTAACCATCTCTGATACCTGAGTTTGTTTTTCGGTGTTGCTAAGTTTAGGAAGAACCAGTATTGTTTTGCAAGATGCGTTACTTGAATTATCTTTAGCCTGGCCTAAAATTAAAGTATTTGATTAGTTTTATCGAAACGCTCTGAATCTATTTCTTGATGGACATCTTTCTGAGAACTAAGTTCGTCATCATCAGATTCACTTACAGAAATGATATCATCCTTAACTTTAATAACTTCAATGTCAGTTTTTTTTGCTAACAGTTCATTGCTATCACCAATATTTTCAGATCTTCGAGTCTTAGCAACAACATAAACATGCCCACCATCTGTTTCCACAGACTTTTTGCTTTCCAGCCTAGACTACGAGTAGTTCCCCATTTTTTCTCATGGGGGACTACTCGTAGTCTATTTCCAGCCTAGAAGCTTGTTTATCCTGCGTGAATATGCTGGTAAGCTTCACCTGCTTACCGCTAGGCTCTTTTGGTTTCTCAACCACATCTTGGTCAACTGATGAAAACTTCCTCTTGAAACTGCTAAGCGAAGGAAATTTCTCTTTCTCAACATGCGTCCT